CGAGTTGAGGGGATGAACGGTGCTCATATTTCTCGAAGTTTTTTGGCGACTGTCATTGCCTAGAGAGAAAAACTAAGGCAAGTTTATTCAGTTCTTAACCTTATGGAGTGATTCTGAGTAGTATTTAGCGAGAAGTATAAAAATCGTTTCATGACCCCTTTAATATGCGTGGTATAAAGTATGAAATACGTTTCATAATCCCTTTGCGTGGATCGTAGTGAAAGTTTCTACATCAGAAGCACTCCTGTATCTAGCGTTTTCCCGTAAGCTGACGCAAATTGTTCAAGAGTGTACTCAAACGCAAGATATGTCGTTAGCTCTATTATTGACTTTGTATTCCTAAGCATAACACTGGCGCAAACAGGCTACTCGTGCGAAGTTCTGGATGGAATCTCGGATCATGACATGATTATCGTCACATGTCCACTGAGACGGCGCGATACAACGAAGGTTTCAAAAGTTTCATTTCCAGACTTTTCTAAGGCGGATGAAAATCGTATCCTAGATCTTTTAGACGCCAATTATGATAGCTTCAGAGAATTTTGCCTATTAGGCACATCGTTCATAGACGATATTTGGGGAAAGTGTAAAGCCTTGGGGACTCCCAGTGCTATAAAAAATTCTGTTCCTACGCGAATCAAGACAGCTTCGCAAAATAATCCTTGGATAACAAGAAATATTGTTCGCCTGAAGCGTAGGTTAAGGAGAAAGTGGTGGCAGCGAAGAAAGAATGAGACGTCTGAGAGACGAAAGGAAGTGCGGAGTCTTCTAAGACTGTAAGTTGGAAGTGCCAGGTGCTCATATGTAAACAACTTTCTCTTAAAATTTATGAAATCTTCTCCCGACAAATTTTGGCGGAATTTATCTCCACCAAAGGAAACTGTGACTAGCATTGTAGAAAACAATTGTTATAACAGATAAAAGTCAGATTGCTTTTTCATTTAATCGCTGTTTTCCATCTGTCTTTACGCGGGATGGTAATTACCTTCCCGGTTTCCATGTTTCTGGTAGGAACCCCTTAGGAAATATAGAAATAGACAAGCAAGGCCTGTTTAACTTGGTACTATACATATTGAGGATAAAAAAAATCTCCAGAACCAGACGAGATAGCGAATGTTTTTAAAAAGATATGCAGAGTGGTGTTCCCACTACCTCGAGATAGTATTCAGCGTATCACTCAGCAAGGGTCAGACCCCTCGTGATTGGAAATGCGGAAAAGTGATTCCGATATTTAAACAGGGCGATAAAACAACACTAAGTAATTACAGACCAATTTCGCTTACCAGCACACGCTGTAAAACTTTGGAGCATATGATAGTTAAATGATTGATGAACTATGTAGAGAGTATTAGCATCCTGGGTAAAAAAATCAATATCGCTTCAGACGGGGATTTTCTACAAATACGCAGCTAATAGAAGTCTTAGTAGGGTACGTTGTTGGGCTAGTTGGTTCATCTTAGTAAAATATATAAAATAGCGCAACAAAAAGACAAGGACAAGAAGAATACAAAACAGGCGCTAACTTTCAACTAGTTTATTCAGGAAAATTGAACACATATATACACACGACAGGCAAAGCAGCACCACGTAAAAGTTTATTAATTTTTCACCCGGTCACTCAAAAAATGAAATTCATTACAATGAAGAACAATATAGAAGCGTCGCTGACACATGCCGTCCCACTTTTTTTGAGAAAGAAAGCTTCCAATAGCTCTCGAGCGACCGTCTCCCGGCTTCCCTCCAGAATCCTTATTTGCTGAAATCGAGGAACACAGCCACAAGTGTTGCAATGTATGGGCCCAATGCGAGCCATATTTATTTTTTATTGATAATGCGTGCTCCCGCGCTCGGTCATTGATGCACCGCCCCGTCTGGCCGATGTATACCTTTCCACAACCCAGTGGGATTTCGTAGACTGGATATTAAAAATTGGTTAGAACCATATTTATCAGATCGAGAACAGTTTGTTTCTTTAAAGGAAGTAACAACTGGCCCATTGCCAGTAATATCTGGTTTTGACCATTTGACCATATAGATGTTTTGACCATTCACCGGTCAAAACATCTATAGCCTAGAGAGAGTTCAAAACAAAGCCGTTCGATTTATTTATGATAGTTATAGATCAACAGATTCTGTGTCTGAACTCAAGGCCCGAGCATATTTAACCAGCATAAATCCAGAATAGAAATGATTAGAATGAAACTCTTCTTCCAAATAATTCATGGGTGCTACAGGATAGACGCTTCAAACTATATTTCCCTATTCGAAACAATGCCTAGGAGAACACAACACAATCGCCATGTCAAGCCATTTTGGTACACAACAGATCATTTCAAACACTCTCTTTTGTCAGATGTACAGATCTTTGGAATAACCTCCCTGAATGTATAGTTAAATGTAACTGTACGGATATGATTTGCAAAAGAGTTCGTAAACTTTCAGTGTGAATAAATTACTTGCCTCTGTGTATCTAATATGTACCACTCCTGCCCTGGTCTCAAGGCTGGCTGTAATTGTATAAATACAAATAATATTAAATAAAATATCCGCGCACAATAGTCTAGAATCTAAGGTACGACGATGCTCGCGAGAAAATCTTGCTAGTACGTCGTGCCGTTTTAATGAAACCGCTAAAATTAAATAACCATTTTTTTTTTAAGAGTTTTGCAAGGAAAATAGTTTTCTTTTCGGGGGTCTAAAACATCTATTTTTTTCTTTTTTTTTTTTTTTTAGATTTTACGCTTAACTTTTTCTTATCCCTCCAAAAAAAAAAAAAAAGTGCTACGGGGTGTGTTGACTGGCAAATTCTTTCGTGTTTTGCGTAGTACAATATGCGCCAACCCGGTCGCCCTGAACTTAAAACGTAACATACTAAACCGAACGCGCTAAAACAAAAATCGATAAGCTTTGTTTACTTCGATCTGCGGGCTATAGAATAGATAGCTCCGAAAAGGGGGTCATTTACCTGCGCCCATATACGTTTCCCTGTTTATCGATATAGGGGACGGGTTACTGCGTCGGGCTAACGAGGGTCGCGGTTCAACAGCCGTCAGGGACGCGCGGTAGGGGGGCCCTGCGACTCGTATAGCGCCGTCACGGCGATGCGCATTTCGGCAGGGCGGGCGGGCGAGGCGCCTCGGTGGCGAGTCGTGCGGAGCTTGGCTCCACTCCAGGGGGCCCAGCCAAGGCGGGCGGACGTTTACGGTTTCGATGGGGTGCTCCGAGCGGGGGAGGATGTAAACAGTAAACACGGGGCCAAACACCCCTTCCCCACATGCTCCCTCGCGTGCGTCACTCGCGCTGGCGGAAGAAACCGAGAGCGCTGTTGCAGCGTAGGGATTGTTCGGGCTACTGCCATTCGCCCGCGAAATGAGTAATTTCCGGCGTGTTTACACTTATAATGCAATTAAATGCAAAGGTGCAAGCGAGCTGGACAAGAATGACGAAAATAATCCCTGGAGAAGGGGAACAAGAGGGACAAAGGACAAACATAAATCTCCAAACACAGCTAGGTGACTGGTGAGCGACCGAAAAAATCCGCCTGGTCCGGGTATCGAACCCGGGACCTCTCCATTACAAGTTTACACTATTAAAAACAAATTGTCCTAAAATAAGTTTAAGGGTTTTCCGGTTTGTTCATGTTTTGCACCTTAAGAAGTTCTTCCTCAAAGGGTTCTTCGTGAAAAACCTTTTGGGAGTCTTGCCGAGGTGCCTTTTTAGTGCACCAGGGAGCGATAGGGCTTGAGGCAAAACCCATGGGCGAAACCGTACTTCACGAGGTATGAGTTCTTGGGGCGTCAAAAATCCTTTCAATGACCTTTTTTTTTTTCTTTTTTTTTTTTTTTTTGGGGGGGGGGGGGGGGGTGCGAATAGTTGTTTTAATCGAATAGCGCGGCGTCATTCCCAGTTGGGAGAACCGGTTGTCGTGGCTCTCCCCTGCACAGTGAAGGCTATGGCTGACGCTGCATTATTGGATTCGAGCCGCTTTTAGCATACCCCTAATATGGAATGACTTTAGTATGGACGACACGAGTCAACAGATCTCTGTAAATTCTTTCTTCTTTTTTTTGCGCCGTACTTTTTTTTATATAAGATTGTTTTACTTGCACGAAGAATCTAAACTAGCAGCCTCGCTCGGTCGCCTTGATACTTCTTTTTACAGGTAACGACAACTAATACAAATGACAAGACACATTCCGCTGGAACAGAATGGCGTCATTTAGTTTAGTCTCCTGCTGTGCGCCGCCATTCGCTTCCTAAAACCTGCACCGTCACGCAGTCGGCGCTTCAAAGAATGCCGCTGCCTGTTGGAAGCACTTATCGAGGAACTCAAAACCACTTGGAGCGCGATGGATATAAGGCTGGCTGCTGGCGTGCCAGTGATGTGAGCTAACACATGACAGGTCGTGCTTGTCCATACAGCCTACGTTAGGCCAAAGGCCTCAAACGGGGTGAACGCTTGCCGGGTGGCACCGCATCCGTGATGATGAAGCAACCGTATACCAATACATCTCGTGTGTGTGTGTGTGGAGTAAAAATAGTCTCGACGAGGGCAGAGTCGTTGAGACACCTCTTTCGCTCTTTTTCAAGCTTTGATGCTTTCTTGACTGGGGCGTTTATTGCTGTGTTGCCCCGTGGGTATAATGATGTTGGTGTCTGGTGTTCCCACCTTCACTCCGCGACGCGGTTCCGAGCGCGTATGTGGCCATATCGGGCGATGTTGTCCCTGTGGATAATGAATAAAGGGATTGTTGTCCGGTCGGACGCATGCATGCAAACGAGCAAAGTTATAATTGCGGCGTTTGACCGCATTTTTGTAACGATCAAAAAGATATAAGCGTCGCAAAACCATGCGAGTTAGCCTGCCGATTGACCAATTAACGCGTTAGTTTCCGATCAATTGCTTAACCGGTTAATGGCTGAAAGTGCGCACAGAGCAGACGAACGTGCAGGCCTCCAGCAGGTGCTCGACGGGTGACCCGAAGGCGCGTTCTGTGCAGGGAGCGAGTCCCCGCCCGTGTGCGGCCAGGTGGCACCCCGGTTCGAGCTCCGGGACGTGCTGGAGCCGGCGTCCGGGGCCGGCGACGAGTGCTACCAGGCGGCCGCCGAGACCATCATCTCGCACTGCCGCGAGAAGGCTATGGGCAACGAGATCTCGGCCCCCTACGAGGTGCCCCACTTCCCCATCGAGCTGCACGAGTCGCGCAAGGTCATGCAGCAGCAGTTCTCTACCAGGTACCTACTTGCTTGACTCGTGAAGAAGAGAAAGTTTTATCTTTTTATTATAAATTTTGCATCGCCGAACGCTTAATCTCGGACCGAATGGGAAATTGAAATGGGAAAATTGGGCCCGTTCTCGTAACGCATTTAGATGCATGTATTCGAGGACTCTGTCGGTCGCCATTTTCCCATTTGAAAAAAGGGTTGGTTCTGAAAATTTAACATCTGTTTCGGATCTCTAGGGCTACATTTGAACCGAGAGTGAACGCTGGGTGATGCGGAACTTGTGTCTGCGGTGAAAAACACTGTATATATATATATATATATATATATATATATATATATATATATATATATATATATATATATATATATATTAGGCGCCTTGTGCTTTAAGTGGAAGCTCCTCCCACTTCGTTCCACTATAGCAGAGTGAACGCTGGAGAGGAGGCAACCTCCTCTCCAGCGTTTGCTCTAGCAAAGTGGAAAGTGGTAGGAGAAGCTTCCACTTCGCTTTTCACTTGTCACCGATTATACGAGCTGATGGGACCAATCAGACAGTGTCAAAAGCGCAAATCTTTGGGTTTTCTCCGTAAGTGATTGGCTCACGAACTCCATGTTGGTGCGCTTTTGACGCTGCGCGATTGGTTCATCAGCTCGTAACGTCGGCAGCGTGTATAGCAAAGGCGCGTTCTACGGCAGGGGGCTCACTCTTTTGTCTTTGTTTGCTGTTTACGTTAAATTGTTGAAGTTTCACCAAAGCTTTTTGTGAGGCTAAATATAGTCAGCTGAGTGATATTGATTTCATCTGATGAGCTGGGAACGGGCGAATATGGCAGTATACGCGTCGCTGCCTCTTCGACAATTCGGGGAGCCCTTTCCAACCCGCGCTTTTGACAAAGGCGGAGTTAATTTCCGATGCGGTCCCCGTGAGTAAACGACCGTTTCTCTGTCACCGCGACGTAAACCAGGCTTGAGTCACTCACTGCATGACCGTCAATTTCTGCATAGAGTTGGCTGTATTTCAGGTCACAGGGTATTGGCGATTTTCACCACGTGTTTTTGAACCTGCTTTCACGGCTTCGCCTTTAGACCGCCAGGCGCCGCTCGAGAAGGAGAGCGGACCTGCCGCCACAGCTTTGTGTTCTACCCACTAAGTGCCGTCGATTTCGATGGAGTCGCCAATACAATGGCCGCGACGATGACCTGTTGCGGGATTCTTTCTTTGTTTCATCTTCTGCATAAATTAACCGACCGGGGTCTTCTTTTCTTATTCTTCGCCGTAGCATCATCGGGTGTGTCTTTCGGCTAGAAGAGGGACGATGCACTCGCGTGGCGCAAGCGCACAAAAGCAGGCCCGTGCGGACCACCGCGAGTTTCCGGTCCCGCCCGGCGCGCGCGCGGTATAGTTTCCCACGCTGGGCAAGAACACACGGGAAGCCGAGTCGCGGCTTGTTGTCGCTGTTGTGAGCTCCTCGTGCGCGTGACGGGCGTTATCCTCCAGGGTCTGTTTGTGGTCGTGTCGGATGTCGTGGGGTTTGATCGCGTCCGATCTTTCGCGCTCGTCTGGAAACGTACCAGACACCGCGCCGCGAGTGGTGCGCGCGACGCTGCGGTCGAATAAATGCCTCGATTGTGCTTTTTCCCTCGAATGCTGCTGCAGAGAGAAAGGCAACAAGTAAGTTTTCCCCTCTTGTATACTTTCCGCAGTCTTTCCGCGGGATATCCTTTTGAGCTGATATAGGCGGCGTGCTATCGACAGTGTGTGGGTCGTTGACGAAGTGGGACGGGTCTTGAGCTCACAGAGGTTGTTTTGCGTTTGGAAGTCAAGTGTTCGCGAATAGGGGAAAGGGGGGGGGGGGGGGAGGACGAAGCTCGAGATAGCTCACCGCGCTCTATTAATAGAACGTGACCTATCGTCGCTTAGTTTAATAGCGCATTTTGATCTAATAATTTTGCTGACGCTTATTTTGGCGTGGACCATTTAGGCACGAACTGGATCGTGAATTCTCAAAGAGCTCCGAGAGTGAAAACCATTCAAGATGCATTAGAAATCTTTCTTCCCTCCTTAACCGTATATGACTCGAAGTTGTACAAACAATGCAAGATTTTCGGTGGTGAGGTGTTTCGCAAGGACCTTTTCATATTTTATACTTGTGATTGAGGGGGGGGGGGGGGGGGGGGGTGACACAGTGTTTCTGTGCTTGGTCGTTCTTTCGTGTATAAAAAGTAAGAGAAAGAAATACTGTCGAGACCCGTTATAACTAAGTCAAAGAGAATCGGAAATCACCACCAACTCATGTTTACAAACAAACCGGAGCGCTCCTAGCGGACGCCACCGGCGCCGCGCGTGCGCGATGGGGATGTGGGCGAGAAGCTCACCGTCGTCTATCAACAAACCATTGAAATTAGGGTGACCACCCGTCCCGCGACTCGCGGGACTGTCCCGCATTGAGGGCTTGTGTCCCGCGTCCCGCAAGGTAATCCAGAAATGTTCAAAATGTCCCGCATTTCACGCTGTCGTAAAATTCACAATTTATCCGTGGCGCTGCCGAACAAAGGGGCGCGGGGAAGCGTGGAGGCCTCTGGTAATAGGTAGTTGTAGTAGGTCGTTTTTCTCCTCCGCTACGGTATCCCCGAAGAAAACGTCGCAGATGCGCATGCGCGCCGCTAGCCTTGTCTGCATAGTTCAAGGTCTTTTGGCGGATTACGGAGCGCCATCCGGGTGCTTAGCGGGCTGCGGAAACGGTCTACTACAATTCCCTAATCGTATAAATTGCGATGGTGCGCCATTTACTATTAGCGACCGTCGTTCTTGCAGGAGATCGACGCGCATCTGCTGTTGTGCCTCTCTCCCTGGTGGAAAAGCACTGCAAGGGAAAGGGAAAAATGCTAGCCAAAATATGAAATATAAATTATTGCAATTGTTTTCAAATTAAACTGTGTCAATGCGAAAGGGTTGATGTGAACTATTTTTTAGGGAAGAGGTAGCGCCTGTCCCGTCGTCTTCGTGTCTTCATTGTCCTCGTTTTACATGATGGGGAAAGCAGTTCAGAAAACACGGACTACGAAGAGGAACAAACACGACCGGGCATGTATAACGTCAACCAGCTGGCCCGGTACTCCGCCTTATTGCTGTCCTTGTTTTGTTCGTGCTTTTGTCCTTTTAATTCAGTGTGGGCCAACTAGCCCAAACCCAAGTTTTAATAAAAACATAGGGTTATAAATTTGAGTAAGAGTATGTTGGTAAAAGTATATCGACAGGAAACAATGAGCCGAAAAAAGATTTACTGTTTCTTCTCTACTTTTGATGCATGGAGCTTTGTAGCAGTCAATTTTGATGTTTTAAACTTAGACACATTTAATAGCTTGTCATTAACATTAGTATGAAAGTTATTTGATCTTAATAGCAGCAATACAGTGCGCAGATGTATAATATGCTTTCAGCCATATTTAGTGGTGTGCGTGGTAATACATTTCCTCCAATGTATCCTTCTTAGATGCCGCAATTGTAAACCCCCCCCCCCCCCCCCCCCCCCCCCGGGTCAGCGTGTCCCGCATTTGACTATCAGAAAGGTGGTCACCCTAATTGAAATGCGATGTTGTCGGCATCGGTGTGAGACCGCCTGCCCTTTTTCGCGTTCGAATTGTTGATTCTACGTCTTCCTGGCGATGTCCGACTACCTGAGCGGCGTCAGCGAAATTACCGAGGCTCGTTACACCGCAAAACTTCGCGTGAATAATGTGACATGTGGCGCTTCATTCCGCGTGGACGCCGCAGTATGTACGCTAAAGCCCGATTCGCATGATGCGATCTCGCTCGCAATTTTCAGTCGCGACACCGCTTGGGCTGCAAAAGCGTGAACCGTAGCTGAGATAGTCGACGTCGATACTGAAAATCGCAAACAGAATCGGACGAACTGAATTAGGCATACCAAGTCGGTGTTGGTCACTGGTAACAATGATCAACATCTTTTTGTATCTACTGTTTACATCGAGCCTGCTTACCAACCTTCAAATCTGAGTCTTTTGAGGCCTGCACTTACTTCTTATCGCAAGTACCGGGCCGACATTTGGTCTACGGGCCGGCGTCGTCTAAGAGAGCAGACGACAGTTCGAACGATCAGGCGGCCGTTTGAACTTGAAGGCGCACTGAACGTAGACCGCAGGTGGTCCGCACAACTTGACGATTTTCCGGCGTTCATGTTGCAACAAAACAAATAAATCTGATGACCACAAGTATTCATGAATTCAACCCAAAGTGATTCCCGCCCAAGAAATCGTTGTGTGGCGGCGTCTGCTTTTCCAATTTCACGGCACATATCCATGCAGATTCTCGGACGAACCGAGCACGTGAAAACTGACCTTTAAACCTTTCTCGACACTTTTGGTACGGCCCCAGTCGCGGCGTTTTGACGAGAAGGCACGTTTTTGTCTGGTTCCTTTCGAAACAACGCAAGAATACACGTCTGGAATGGGGACTTCCGCCCACAGCCCCAGACCGGAAGTGCGACCGACGCGCCACCACCGCACCGTGACGTAACAAAGATGAGTTCGTGTATATCCACTTTTTCGTTATAATCGACGGGTTTTAACGAAGTGCAAAAGGAAATGGGAAATCGTGATCGCTTCGCTGTTGTCGCTATTTCGTTATAACCGACTTCGTTATAAGCGGTCTCGACAGCAGGTGAAAAGACATACTTCTCGGCAGGGATGGGCAAAATACATGCAAATGTGTATCGAAATACAAATACAAAATACTTCGTCGAAAAGTATTTAATTACAAATGTAATTACATTTCCAAAAAAGCATTTAATTACAAGATACAAATACTACCAAATGTATTTGGTGTCCTCCAAATACTTTTCCAAATACATTCCTCAAAAGTTTCGTCAGCCACTTCAGGGCACCTGCAAGGGGTTTCTGGGTATCTCATTTTAATTTTGCATCGCACACTCGGGAGTTGGTGTGCGAGGCTCTAGTAACGTAATAGAAATATAATCACAAGAAATTTA